TCCACCCTTCCCGGCCTGCTGTTTGCACCCCTCTTGCTCTCCCCTTTTTTTTTTTATCGAGTGTATGTAAAGCCTGCTGTGGTTCTTGATCTGACTTCAGTCCTTTTTTGGTCTCTCCCTCTCTCTCTGTCTCTCTCTCTCTTTCTCTCTGTCACACTCGCTCCCGTTCTCTCTCTCTCTTTCTGTCGGAACCTCCTAAACTCTCTGCATCATTCAATGGGCTCCACCCCTTTTCCTAACACCCTGTCCGCACCTTCCACACTTTTTCCAGCTTCCTTGCTGGAAACAGCTCAGACCCTCGTGTCAGTAAGTCCACCCCCCCGCCCCCCCCACCGCGATGGTGTACGGCTAACTATGAGCAATACCCACCCCACCCTTCAACCCTAACCCCACCCTCATCATTCGCAGCCTCGTCTCCTCCCCTGAATGACCTTGCTGCCTGTCTTTTGCATTGAGTTTTCCCTTTGTAATGCCCCCCAGTGTCTGTCCCCCCTGGTCTGACATTAAAGATGTCCTGTCTTTGCTTTTCTCTGCTTCCTTCATCACCTACAGTGTTTATTTTTAACCTGCTGATGTTCCCCTCCCCTTTTCCATTCTCTCCAATGGACTGTCCTTCCTGTCTCTCCATTCCCCCGATTGCTGCACCAGTTTCCCTTCTCGTTCTCACTTTGTATTTCCCTAATTCCTAAGCGAAGTTCATATTTAACTTGTGGCACGCTGTTGTGTGCGTGTGAGTGTGCATTTGTGAAATAGGTGGGATCTGTTTACCAAGGAGACTCAGGGCCCGGAGCTGCCAGGGGGAGGAATTGGCGTGATTCACTTTGGCTCCCCCTTCTGGCAGGAATGGGTGGAGGCAGGCTCCTGTCTAGTTCTTGGGGTCGTTCTTACGGCATAAACTCTGACGTTAGATTCAGCTGATTTTTCTCCTTGGCTCCTCACCCAATTACTCAATCAACCAATCTGATTTTTTTTTACCTGTGCTTGATTGTGTTAGCCTGACCTGGAATTGCCAGAACGTGAGCTAAATATGCATTAATAATTTAATAAAACCTGTTGGTTATAGGGGTTGGTATAGTGGTTAGCACTGTCCCCTCGTACCATTGGGATCTGGGTTCAAGTCTCTGCTGTGGCTCCATGTGTGCGGAGTTTGCATGTTCTCCCTGTGTTGTCATAGGGTTTCTTCTGGGTGCTCTCGTTTTCCCCCACAGTCCAAAAATATGCTGAGACTGATTGGAGGTGCCAAATTGCCCATAGGTGTGCATGTGTGAGTGTGCCCTGTGGTGGGTTGGCACCCCATTCTGGGTTGTTCCGCGCCTTGTGCCTATAGGTTAGATCTATGCTCGTTTGCTCGTTCTGAGTTTTTCTGAACCTGAATTTGTCAGGGTCTGCACCCGTCCAATCCTGCCCTTCGTGTCTCCTCCCCGTTTGGCCAGCAGGTGTTGCTGGCCGTCCTGCCCTCCTCCCTGTTGCTTCCTTCAAGCCTTGTGTTCCTTACTCCCTGCACCACTGCATAGCTCAGTGGCCTGAGTGTGCAGCTCAGATGCTGAACCTGTGGGTCTGTCTCTGCCAAAACCCAACAGGAACCGGCAGAGTGACAGAGAGGATGTGGCTGCCCGGGCCCTAACCCACTGAAGCAGGCTTGGGTCTGAGCCTGATTCCGGGTCAGGTGGAGGTCTGATTGCGAGCGCTGAGGTGTCACAAGCCGGCCCCCTGGCGAGCAGAAACACCAGCGGGCCATGGGGATCTTTCTGGAACGAGGAGGTTTCTGCTTTGTTCTCTAGTCAGTCATTGTGATTTTGGTCGGTGAGAAGTTAATCTGTGTGCTTGTATGTTCATGCTCTCTCTCTTGGTTTTCTAGTCCTGCTCCCAGTCAGGCCCAGTTTCTTAGTTGTTTTACTTAGTGGTTTCTTTAGCTTAATCTTATTTCTCCCAGTTTGTTTTCTTTAGAAGAAAGAGGCTGCAGTTTGCAAAAAAATTTGTATTATCCACAGATATATACCCATAAACTGACAAATGATTGAAACAAAAAAATGTGCTGTGGTCTCTTAATCTTTTCCGTGGCGGTATTTTTTATTTTTATGTGATGAGGGTTTTTATCTGATGAGAAAGCAGAGCTATGCTCATGTTTCTTGGACAAGAATATTAGTAGCAAATCAAGTATATTGATACACATCGATCATACCTCCTGAATGTATTTTTTGATGCAATTTAATGTGAAATCTTGCCTTATCTGACACAATCACAGGTTATAGTGAGCAT